GTGGCTCACGCCTGTAATCTCAGCACTTTGGGAGGCCAAGGTGGGCGGATCACTTGAGGTCAGGAATTCGAGACCAGCCTGGCCAACCGTGGTGAAACCCCGTCTCTACTCCAAGTACACTGGAACCTGAACGTTCATGTCAGGGTCCAAGGCAATCACTGCTCCCTTTTCACCAACAGTTTGGGAGAGTGATTTAGAGATCATAGAGGCTCAGCTTCAAACTTACTAAAGCTGATCCTTCTTGCTCAGCTCACGGTAGCTTTGCACACTCCGGTCATGTGGGGAGGCAAAGGTAGAATTTTGTCCCACGGAGGAAAGTGTGCTGTGCAGAGGGACAGCAAGCTCCAGAGACGGGCAGAAGGCTGTCCTTGAGCCGTCAGCTGAGTGCGCACGCGTGTGAGGGAACAGCTGGGACCTAAGGGAAGGGCCGCCGGGAAGAAGGGGAGGAAGCTCAAGCACTCACACAGGGCTGGGAGTAGTTTGCATTCCTGGTCGCCAGCGTGGAGGTCGCCAGTGTGGAGGTCGCCAGCGTGGAGAAGCCGTCACATCCACGACGGGCGTCGGGCTGGGTACCTAAAAGTTCACTGTGTGGGTGTATGTGGGTGTGGGAATGTGTGGCGGTGTGGGTGTGAGTAGGGGTGTGTGTGAGTGTGGGGTGTATGTGGGGGTGTGTAGTGTGGGTGTGTGGGGTGTGCGTGTTTGTGGGTGTGGATGTGTGTGTGGGTGTGTGTGGGTGTGTTTGTGTGTGTGTGGTTTTGAGACAAAAATCTTGCTCTGTTGCCCAGGCTCGAGTGCAGTGGCACAATCTTGACTCACTGAAGGCTCTGCCTCCTGGGTTCAAGTGATTCTCCTGCCTCAGCCTCCCAAGCAGCTGGGATTACAGATGCACACTGCCAAACCTGGCCAATCTTTGTATTTTTAGTAGAGACAGGGTTTCACCGTGTTGGCCAGCCTGGTCTCGCACTCCTGGCCTCAAGTGATCCACCCGCCTCATTCTCTGAAACTTCTGGGATTACAGACATGAGCCAACACGTCTGGCCTGTTATTTATTTTTTTAGAGATGGAGTCTCACTATGTTGCCGAGGCTGGTCTCAAATTCCTGGGCTCAGGTGATCCGCCTACCTTGTCCTCCCAAAGAGCCGAGATTACAGGCGTGAGCCACTGTGCCTGATTCTGTTCAGGGTCTTGACTGAGGCGATGGTTTCACAGGTATAGACATGTGAAAACACATCCAAGGGTACACTTCGTGTGTAGTTCATTGTAAATCAGTTACACCCCATTAACATAATGTGTGTGTGTGTGCGCGCGTGTGTGCGCCTGTGTGGATCTCTGTGGAAACCAGAAGCCCTCTGACGCGTGTGTTTGTTCTTGCCTAGGACGCCCAGAGCAAGAGTCCCAGCGCGGTCCTGAGCCACGAATTGGATGCTGCTCACTCTGACAGTGCCAGGTCATCTTCCAGCAAGTTAGAGCTCTGGCCTGATGTTAACAAAATAAGGAAATCAGAGGTTTGTCTTGGCAACTAACCGTGTAGAGACACCCGCGACCGAGTGCCTGCTCTGCGAAGAGCTCTTTTCCATGGGCTGAGGGCCTGGCACCAAACAGAAACCCACGCCCTCATGGACACTACGTTCCAGTGCGGAGGGGACACGGCAGGGAGGAGGGGACACGGCAGGGGGGAGGGGACACGGCAGGGAGGAGGGGACACAGCAGCAGGTGAACGGTGCTAATAGCGTTTTTGGGTGTTTACCTGGTGCCGAGCCGT